GGGGGGGTAAGGATGACGGAGGGTAAGAAGGTAGGCGTGGACGGGACGGGGACACGGGATGGGCGGAGAGACGGCCGCGTTTTGGACCCGGGTGTGTTCTCCGTCGAACCGATGAAACATGTCCGCGGGGGGCACCACGTATCCCTTGCGTTCCGACAGTGTAGCTGTTGCGCCGCGTCCTTCCCCTCTTCCTGTCGACCTCGTATGCATCCATCTCCTCTGGCCCGCGTCGTATCTACACCCTGCTGCTGCCGTTTTTGGTCGCGACAGATTGGGATTGCCATCGGCATGACCCAGCCGGGGCCTAGCTCGGAGGAGGAGCTGGTACGGTTCCTCTTCGATCGCCCGACGGTGCAGGAAGGACGCACTTGCCATAAGGTTCGGCGTCGTTTCGATTTTGTTGGAAGAGGCATTGTTGGGAGGGAGGGAGGGGGGGTGCTTCTCTGGTGTTGGGGCTTTTGGTTGGGTTGGTCGTGATGACTCTCCCAGCGTTGCTGCCTGCGCTCCGGTGCTGTAGGTAGGCAACCTGTTTGTTGAGACTCTAATCTCTCTTTCCCTCTCTGCATATCCATCTATTTCTCTCCCCCTCCTTCTGCCTCCCTCTCTCTCGCTTCCACGTTACCTCTTGCCTGCTTCCAGACACGCCGTCGCAAATAAGCTATACTGCGCCTCGATCTCTCATGTGCAAGCGCTTATTTTCACCCTGTCAAAGACTACCCCTCTACCGACGTCGCTGTCCTTGTCTTTGATTAGCCTCGCGCTTAAGGATTTTTTTTTGTCTGTTGACCTTGTTATTCTCCGGCGTTGGCGCCTTGCCGGCTCGTCCGTCCGCCAGGTCCTCCTGGTGCTGGATGACGTGGACTCGCTGTTCGAGGCCGGGGGCGACGCGCGCGACCGCGTCTTGAAGCTCCTCAGCAATCTGTGCTCCATGAGCGAGCACCTCAAGCTGCTCGTGACGAGCGAGCAGAGCTTGCAGCGTGACACGAACGAGAGGTTTCGCCACGGTTCGGAAAGGGTGCGCTGAAGCGTGGCTTGCGTTTTTTTTTTTATTCTTGCGGGTGAATGGGCTGGGGGTCGTGGGGAGGTGGGAGTGCTTCTTTACGTGATCCTGAGTTTCGCGCTGTGTGTGTTGTTTGGATGCCTGACGACGTGATGAGTCCTGTCTTGTGTGTTTTAGCGTCGTGAGTCGTGATGGGTGCAGTTTATCGATCGCTAATCAAGTTCCTCTCGTGCATGATGCAAGAATGCCTACTACCGAATATTTGCCTATGCTATCGTGCAAAGAGTTGCAAGCAAGTCCACAAAAATATTGGGAACGACACGCGCTGTTGTACAGGTGGCCAAGGTGAGGCCTCTGAACGACCGCGATGCTGCGCAACTCCTTTTGGATAAGGTCCCGACAAAATTCACAAAGAAGGAGCTTAGGCTCTCGCTCTCGCACCGCTGCACGCGCGAAGACATCCTGAAGGCGTTGGAGGCGCACCGGGTTTTGAAGGCTGCGGAGGGGCATCCGGGAACGCTGGTAAGTTTTTTTTTTTCTTGTCCCTGGGATGGATGGGGTGGTGTGTGTTTGTGTTGCTGGCGTCGACCGCGCTAGCCGGCTGACCGATGACGAACACGTCATTCTCAGTCCCGGCTGAAAACAGGTTGACATAATCTGAGACACCATGAGTGGAGGTATGTGTGTGGGTGTGTGTGGGTGTTTTTATTATCTTGTTTTTTTTAGCATCGACCGCGCTGACCGACTTGACCAATGAAAACACGTCGGTCTTGCAGCGGAATGGCAAACGCGAACAGGCGTGTTTGTGCGAGTGTAGCGATGAGACCCTAGTTTGTCTCTGGCACGCGTGTGTAGCCGTGGGTGTCGTATCCGTGTCCGGCGACGGTCTCAGTTGCTGATGAATGTAAGGATTCCAGGGTGAGAGCCGCCACGCCCCAAGCTCCTCGAGTAGTGGATGCATCTTTTGCGGATACCGCTCATGATGTGCCGGGCCTGATGTGCAGTCACGCTCGGTCTGCTACTGTGTAGTTTTGCCGGCAGCGCTTGGGGATACTATTGGAACGGTGGAGATGTGGATATTTTTGGAACCATGCGAGATTTCATCTCAACACAGAGCAGGAGCTTCCACCCGAGGAACAATAGAGGGAGATACTTCATCCGAACATTGGAGGTTTCATCCAAAACAATGGGAGATGCCAACGAACAAGTAGAGATGCCATGAGAGATACCGGGACATACCAGTCGAACAAATTTGGACACCATGTGAACGTGGGGAGATCCCTCCCTCCCGAACAACCTTCGTACGGAAACTCTAGACTCCAACGCCTTCCCTTGCATCCCTCTCCGCGTGTTTTGCCCCTTGTGTTGCTCCTTTTCTCTTTGTTCTTGGTTGTCTTTTCTCGCGCAGTTGAGGCTTGCACCCCTCCTAGAAGACCACAACGTGAACGACGCGTGCGTGCTGGAGAGGGTGACCCAGTGAGTGAATTGTCGGCGTTCCGCGTTCTCGGCAGCAGTGTTATCGCCCGTGCCTCGTCACTTTCGCCGTGCGGCAGCGGCAGTGGTGTCTATGTAGGGCGATGTGTGGTGGAAAAGGGCATGGCTACATACAGCTTCCGGCCGCCTGACAAGTATTACTGCTGGAAAAAGAATCGCACGGCGTTTGTTGATTGGACCGCTGCTGCTGTGTTTACGTTCCGCTCAACGCCGGGGTGGATGTGTATAGGGAGTGGGCACCGGAATCGCTATCCGCCGCCGGAGACCGGGAAGACCTTGTTCTCTCCCCCTCCGGGACATGCATAGCTGGCGACCACTAGATGCCAAGCGCCACTGTGTTTTCATACAGCCATCACCAATTCCTTAATTTTTTTCCCGCTTTCCCTTGTGCTGCTGCGTCCTCTCTTTGTTTCTGTCCCGTCTTTTTTTTTTGTTTCTTGTCTCAACCCGCTTTTTTTTTTTTTCGTCGGTCGTGCGTTTGTTTACGTGTACGTGTGTGTCTTGACCTTTACGCCGAAAAGATGCCGCCTCGAGTACAAACTGGAACCGCAAACGCTGAGAAGGAACCGCGCGAGCTCTAACACCTCCCTGGCGAGCAGCGTGGGGGCCGCCGGCACCGGCATGGGGGGGGGGGGCGTGGCCTTGCCTAGCGGGGCGAGCGACATGAGCCTGGGCAACAGCATGGGAGGGGGGAGGCCTATGACGCCGACGCAGCCCCACTTCCTGGGGCACGCAATTAGCCACGACACCCACTTCCAGCAGCAACACAACGGCACCGGTAACGGTAACGGTGCCTCGCCTTTCTTCCAAGAGTTTTCGTCCTGGGCCGGGGGCGGCGAGATGCACCACCCCCTCCTGAACGGGGCCGGCATGGCGGGGGGCTCCAGTATCCACAGCTCTGGGATCGGGGGCAGCGGCCACGGCACCCACTCCGCCGCCGCAGCCGCCGCCGCCATCCGCCCGAGCAGCTACCACGACCACCACCGAAGGCGACACTCGGCCCATCTGCAGTCCCCCACGCACCCACATCAACACCGCCCGCAGCGGCGCATGACGGTGGTGAACCAGCTCATGGCTCAGGTAGAACTGGAGGAGCCGGACCCGCCGCAGATGACTCCGAGGGAAAAGCGGGCGTGGGATACCGCGCGGACGGCGGGGCTGATGGACCGGGGCTGCCGCCTCGTCTGGGTTACGGCAACCACGAACGCCTTGCTGAACGGGTGGACGTACGACGGCGGCGGCGGCAGTGACAACGGCGGGTTCGGGTGGCCGGCCGGAGGGGCGGGGGGGGGGGCG